AGTAGTAGAAGTTATTCTAGTAGGCACCAAAAAAGATTCACAAGATTATAACATTGGAAAAATGATATGAGCCTACTGCTAGCACTGGAATCTTCTAATAAGTTAACATTGTAGAAGAAGTCACCACAAACAGCAATATATTTATTTGGATTATTTAATTTGCCTAAAACTTCATCTAATCTTTTTTCAAATAGTTCGTAAGATGAATCTCTGTACACGCTTAATATAACAAGCCGTTCAAGCTCTATGCAGGATATCTCTATAGTCCGCTCAATAGATAGTCTCAACTCAACATATCCTGAAAGAACAAAGGTTTCGTTATAATTCGGTTTTCGGTGTAATGAAAATTCGAAATAAAGTTATTTCGGAGAAAAATTCGAGTTTGTGATAAGTTACCCCCTCGTTAACTTACAACACCAACTTATGACTCACAGTGACGGGCGCAATGGCAGTACCCCTCAGATTTTTGCGATTTAAAGCTCTGAGTGGCACTGCAACTGTTATGGACAGGCGTTATCTTACCATCAGGTGCACGACTTGTTCGTTCCGTCACTTGATATCATAAAAAAATTCATTAGTAGATTTACAAGACAATTAAACAATAAACCAAAAATCTGATCAGTTGTTTTCGCGACAACTGATCAGATGTCTTCAACATAAATATCACCAATCACCGACTGAACCATAGAAACCTTTTTATTTTTATTCCCAATAGAGCAAGAATAAGGCAAACGCAACAGACCAATCACTAATCACATTGTCCGGTCTGTTAGACCGTCTCTTCACGGTTCGGTTTAGCCGAATTGTCCTCTTAAATCAGGGATTGGAAAATAACTTACTTTTTTCTCTATCCTATTAAATAGGAGACATTATATCCACCTTTCTTCGAGTAGTTATACCTATACTGAGCCAGCTATTTTATTAAGAAATCAAGTAAGCTCGTGAGACGTGCACTGTCGCTCGATATACAAAGACTAGTTTCACAGCAGCACGTATTGTATGAGGACGATCCATCCGGAGCGGAGAAAAGGATATCAAGTTTGAATGGCGTCAACTAAAAAGCACGCTACAAACGGTTGGATTCTGGAACAAAGAAGACTGCGAATTGGACTCATACGAATTGAGCCGGACTGCCGAACGGACAATATGCACTCTACTAAAACCAATAAAACGTTTACACGTATATGTAGAAAGGACAAACAACCTAGTGGTAAGCGACACGCCTGTTCATAACAGTTGCAGTGCCATTCAGAGCTTTAAATCCCAATTATCTGAGAGGCACCGCCCTGATATGTAGTTCACAATACCGATGTTCCTGTAATTACATCAGTTTACTTTCCCTTCAAAACCGGAATGCAGTAATGCTCACGTTACAGCTTGGCAGCAGAAATAGGTTTTATTTTTAATAGTTGCAGTGCCACTCAGAGCTTTAAATCGCAAATATCTGAGGGGCACTGCCACTGCGCCCGTCACCCTGGGACGTAAGTTGACAAGTGTTATGTGCCTATAATTTCACCAGCACCCTTACCCTTCAAAACCGGAACACAGTAACGCTGACATTACTGTTTGGTGGCAGAAACTTCACTGTATAAGCTCTTTAACAAAGTGCTCTACTGCTACGAAAGCATATTATAAATATTATATCTTCACCTGTCACGATTGAAATTAACTTAAGCTTTTTTTTCAAACAATATAAATGACTGATAAAGTGCCATTCACATTTTTATTAATTTGTGTTGAAAGGGTGCTGTGTTTAATGCATGTCGTCTCCTATACTTATACTCAGTTCTATATACTTATACAAAGTATTATATACAGTTTTAGCGACAAGCTGTTTTGGTTGTATTTCTTTACAGATCATCTAAAGATTTTTCACGATAACTTTGCGTTAAAAAACTGATAAGAATTACATCACAAAAAACGGCTCTTTGTGCTTATCACGCATATGTAGCCTCTAGTTTACGTTACGAGTTAAGCTTTGGGAAAACTTTGCTGCAACACATATTCTGCCACTATTTAAAACCTAAAAGAAATATGTCAGGATCATGTTTGGTATGGATCACAAAGATACCAACTCAAACATTAATGTACAACTTATAAGACCTGTGTTTTTGTTAAACGACATCTAGGCAAAGGAAATGAAACTATTTTTCCGGATTTAAATCGCATATATCCGGAAAAATAGTTTCATTTCCGATGTGTAACAGTCGCGAAAACCTAAGAACTCGAGACATCTAGGCAACGTTAATTTAGTTAAACTAGATATCTAGGGCCCATTGAAAACCAGCGTCACAACCTAGCCTTGGTTGTGACTTTAGCTGAATGGGATCCTTTTGTACACGCCACAGCCGCACACATGTCAGTATAGTATTATGCAACTTGTTGTTGAAATGTTTTTACGCTGTTCTTTGTGTTATTTCTGTTTTAGTTATATTAGTCTTTGTTTTTGTGTTTTTTTTTTATAATGTGGCGTTACAATAAATGGTTTCTATTCTATTCTATTCTATATGCTAGAAACACAAGGAATAAAATATAGAACGGCCCAAATAATGCCTTTATTTGAAATTTTACAATGGAACGATATTTTATATTAGCACTAAAATTGTTTAATAAATTACCGAATAACTAGAATATATACGGATATTAAATTACAGAATACTTCTGCCTGGCGAATTGCATTATTAATTTTTACGTGACGAAGCCTGTTGCTGATTTATATTTGTGTCTTCCTAATGAAGCCTACGTTGCGGATTGACATAATTATATATTTGAAATTAAAGTCAATAAATTTATTACAAAAATTAAAACGTAAAAAAATTTAAAAGAAACTCGCATAATTGTTAGTTATTCAATGTCACACATGACAATAAGGACGTTTTTTTTTTCTTGACAATATAAGATGTAAATTTAAGTAACATATTTTATGTTATATTTTAGAGTATTTTTTTATTAAATTTTAATTATTGTTTATTTTTATGCTATTGTTTTAATTGAACTTTATAAATGCATTCTACATCATAAGTAAAAATAAGTAATGTGGAAAAAAATATTCACATGCTAAGTTTTGGTGAAATGTACTATCTAATTTATGTCATAATACTTTCACCTTTAACTATATTTTTCAACGAATAAATATATTAATATTAATAATAAAAAGCATTTCTGAACATGTAAATTACGATATGTACACATTTAGACGATTATTGATTATGTGGGCAAAAGATAAATGTAAATTTTAAAGTAATACCATTACAGTGTGAAGCATGGAACTTTATTAGATCGGGCATCGTGTATTTAAAATTCCTTCGCTCTAAACATCATTCCTAGATGACATGGCCTAAATAAAATGGAGCCCTCCCTCCATTGACCTACCAATTCCCTCTTCTCCAATAGCTTCAGAATTAAATGGTTAAGAAAGATCTTTGTACATTGGTCGGCATGCAACCATCCTTTACGTTAATGCGTTTTAAAGTTAGTGCACCTCAGCGCATGCGTCGTTGGACACGTGCGCACGATTTACAGTACCGGTTAGAATCGCGGTAGTTTTATTTTCAACGTACTAAATTTGTTTTTGTTTGGGATTTAAACTTAACGTTTAATTAAGATTCTTAAACGTTCTTCTTGATCAATTTTAACGTAGAAATTATTTTTGTAATTGATATTTTTACTATCGCTTCCTGAATTAAAAAGTTTGTGAGTGAAAATCGACATTCAGATCACTCGTATGTTATTGTTATAATTATAACTAAATTAAAAAACTAAACTTCTATTTTATAATAAGTCTATAATTTAACCTGACGTCTAAACATAAATCAACATGTTTTCCTATAACAATAGCCATTAATATTTTATAAAATTCTAATTTACAGTTCGAAGAAATATCTGTATTACCTTACACTACACCAATTAATTTCAGCCAGACAGAATTCTGTGAAACACAGACGGGTTTAACTGTGATCGATGATGTTAATCCTCCATTAGCGATTCGGATTATCGATATTGAAAATGTAGACTTTAATATTTTTGTAATACGTATTTATTTATGGTAAAATGTGAACAAAAGTCGAGTTGTTTTGTCAGAAAATTTCATTTATACGAATTGATTGTTTAGTTGCTAGCATGCGAATTGTAATTTTTAGGAAGAACATTCGAAATATTTCTTTTGTTCAGACAGAAGGACTCCGATGCCTTACTTGTCAAACTCGTGTCTTATAAAGAGTAATTATTCAGGAGATGGCAAAACTTTCGATTTATTTTAAATTTCTTGTCAAGGGTGTTAATTTGGATGCTTTACTTTAGGAATAGGTAAGCCAGGTAGGCCAGTGTGTGAATATGAAGGATCTATGAAATCAGCCTGCAAATTTTGTATATCGTCGTTGCAAATTTAATGTCTCCTATGTGTTAAAAGTAACTTTCATAGAAAAATGAAAAAGCTTTCTCCTGTAAAATTTTCGTAGAGTATTTTTGTTGATTGTCATTGAATTATGAAGATATTGACGTGAGAGTTTTTTCAGTCAGTTACCCTTTGAGTATGCTTTTCAAATATTTACAAAACTTCTTGTCGACCAAATGACACATAAGAGGTTTTAAATTTGCAACGACAATATACAATCCATTTTTAGCATTTCAGCAACTTTGTGCTTTAAGATACGAGTTTGAGAAAGCGACGTTTGTCAAAGTTATTACTACCCTTTTTTGATAGAATTCAACATTCGGAGTAACGGATTACTGTCCAGACTTCTTATCAATAAAAATGAAATAATAACAACTTTCTTAAATAAAAGAAAGTGACCTCTAAAGTTCGTGGAATCCACATCTATTTGCTTGCTTTAATCGGTTAACGGAAAGTGAGTGAAATGCAATAAATCTATTTACCATCCTTACAGGTGCAATATTTTCTTCAAATTTGAATGACACCACTACTATCCGCTTTCCACCAAAAAAAGTTTCACAAATGTTGCGTAACAAACACTAGAAAACGACACTCGAATTGAGAACCTACTCCTTTTTTGAAGTTGGTTAACAAATAAATACTACTATGATGTATTTATTATGAATAACGATATAAAAACACAACGGTTGATATAGTGTCAGTCGAGATGAAAACGATATGGTATAAAGTGGTAACACTAATTGTAATACAGGGAGCGTTTCAAGAACTCAAATTGTACGGCTCTCCGTCACAGGCTGAAGTACAATGCGTCAATACTTTTGAGGTAAGAAACTGTCTTATTACGTAGAGCTAATTTACTTATAAAACCCATTATCTTCCAAAACGGAGGCGGCAGAATAATGTTTCAACAATTCCACGCCACTTAGAATACCGAAATGGTATTCGTTTCTGAAATACAACTGTAGAGTTAAGTTAAAGGCGTAGGCCTTTCCGGCCAGGGAGATAATGGATTTTACAGTAGCTTTTGTCTCTTTTTAACCTTTCGTTATGAGTTTTTGAATATCGAATCCTCTATTTTCGTACTGACTCTAATGAAAACTCACACGGTACCATTTTGTCGTATCAGATTTTTGATGCGTGTAAAACCGACGCGTTATCCAAACTCATATTATCTGAAGTGTATAATTGTCGATATAAAAACTTTTCATGTTCACCAAAGCACCAAACAGAATAATATATCTGTAGGTGAGGGGTAAAGAACATTGAGCACCAAATAGTAATTTTTACTACAGAACGTTTTAAAGAAAAATAACGCTCTTAATTAAACATTTAAAATCAATGTTAAGGTCGTATAAAAACAAACGACGATAGAACTTAATGTGTTTTACTATTCCGTGATTTTTAGCATTCTTAGCGCGTTTGCGATTCGTGTTTAGAAAACTCGAACCCACTTCGGATGTCGCTTGTGTACTAAGTCCGATTCAAAACCAAGAAAATACGAACAACGCTTGTACACCTAGAAGTAAAATGATCCGTAAGACTTTTCGGATTGTCATTTCTCGGATTCGGAACTGGGACGTAATGCGCAAACACTCTTTAGCAATGTTTGTAAACACATCTAAATTCGAATATAATGACTTAAGGTCCATTACCTCTCACCTGAAGACATATTACATAAAAACGAAACGGTATAAATGTAAATCATATGTGCATTTTAGAACAACATGTTTGTTAATGGCTATATCACACTTTTTAATGCAGAATCGGCTTGAGCTTATCAGAAAAGGCTTTATAGGTCTATGTAATAAGAACTATACGAGACGTTGCGCGTTTCACTTCCACTTAGACTGTCAACGTGAAACGCACAACTTTTCTTTCGCTCTTATCGGAAACGCATTAAGACGTCATGTAGAACGTAAAGATTTTTTCATTTCTACAAGGAATAAAAATAAAGTAGCTGTTCTTGATAGTCGTGTTCACAAAGTCACAAATTCATTTAAGGAGCAATGTATACGCTTCTATAAAAGATTCCGATTGATATACAAAAACTTTATATTAAAGGTCATTATACAACTTCTGCGTACTTGGATGACAAAAATCCATGGTAGTGACCTTTTAGCCCTTGGAGGTAGTCTCAATCTATAATATTTGAAAAAAAATATACAAATGATAAATGTGTACAAATGTTTTTTACAAACAGCAACCTCTATAGTTTCTTGCTCATTTTTCTCAGGGGAATCTGCCTTACGAATGAGCGGTAGTTTAACCAATGTGATGATTTGAAGTGTAATATGCTTGCCTATGTAATAAAGATTATTTTGATTTTGCCGTCTTAACGCGTTTCTGTATCAATAAGTGTGGTAACTCCCTTAATCTTACAAAACGGTTAACCTTATAAAAAGACAGTTCTTCTTCTTATTGTATAGATAACATACATTATGGCTCATAACTCAGCCACAACAATCGCATCACCAGTAGCCGCCATTAAATGCTCAAGCGTGCTAGGGCTTGCTCGTGAAAACCGGCTGTAGTCGGTAGTAGTAACGTAGGATGCGCCAGAATTACAAGAAAAGGTTCCTTTCGTGCACGCCAGAGGATAGTTGATAAGTTTTTTTTTTATTATTTTATTGACCAAAATACAGGAAAAATACTTAATTAAATACTACTAATTACAAGCTTTGCTCACAAAAGCCCTTCCGGCTTTATCCGCGGCGAAGGAGTTCAGTCTATTTAAGTAAAGATAATAAAAAATCTTAAGAAACTAACCTAATTACTTCCAGACAGGTACAAAAACATGCTTACTTACATGTGCATATAAATGTCATATAATAACAATCTAGCAATTTACAAAATAAAATTTATATCTTCTGTTTTAAAAAATGTTTCTTAATAATTACCACTTCTCAGTCATTACCATGTGAAGCGATGCGCGACTTTGAATGTTACTAATACTAATCATTCGTATGGGCAAATCATTCGCCTTGGTTGAATCCAAGCACAATCATTCGATTCGAGTCGAATGATTACCGATACCGAATGTCCCTGCCAGTCAGTCGAGTGCATGTTTTTTTTTGTATTTCAGGCATAGTTCCATATAATTTGTTAGTAACATTTTCACTTAGAATACAGAACATAACGGCGCCACATAACATAATATTTATTTAATATATATAAAAACAGATTGGATTTGCCCAACCCAGTGCTTTAGAAAGAAGAAAAAAAGAATAGAAAGAAATAAAAAAAATTTAGAAGACAATCAAATTTGCCTGTAACGATTTTTAGGATGCTGCTGTGGCTACTTCATTTACGAATCATAAGCGACACTATTTTTTCCGAAGCGATAATGCGCGCTTGGAAGCCGTCTACTTGCGCCTCTGCGAACATGCCTGATGCACTGTACCATCTTGGTAGACCCAACAGCATCCTGAAAGTGTTATTATATCGAGCGCATAGGGCGTTGTAAACGCGTTTCGCATACTTATCCCACAGGCTGCTCGAGTAAAATGATTGGCTGTAAACTTTGAATAAAGTAATTTTAATATCGATTTAGCATCTCGCGAACCTGCGGGCCAGCATACTGCATCTCACTGACAACGCCCTACGCTCCCTTTCTACATCTTGGTCATCACTATATAGAATCTATGTATTAGTACGTCATTCGAATACGAAAATTAGTAAGTTACTAATTTGTCATTCGAATGACAGATTTAGTAAGTACTAACGAGTCGAATAACGAAATCATTCATTCATCACAGATACGCCAAAATGGTACACGTGTAAGAATATGATAGTTATGTAACGAACCTATTGTTGATTGAACAATTACATAAACAAGTTTATTTTATTGTCAACTTTCAAACAGGACATGGGTAAAGGCAGCGGCGGCGACGAGATTGACATTGATAATTTTTTGGTGATTATTTTATTTTTTACATTTTCGCTTTTGTTTCACTAAAGCTAGTAACACTTACAAATACTAACCACAATGTGACATTCTATAATCAATTGAACACATTCGCGCGAGCTATGTACGTTGAAAAGTGATGTATAACAACGTACTATTACGTGATTTAATTTCTTTTATTGCACCGAAGAACGTAAGACAACGCTATTTGACCATACAAAATCTTAATAGTGACGTCATTGTTCTACAACATATCAAAATATTGAATTTTTAGCGACATGTGGTGTCGAAATTTCACAGGATAAGTAAGCACTACTCATACATACCAATGATCGCTGGCATGCACACGCGTTTATTGACGTCAGTATCATTATTTGTTAGAGCGGTTACACACGACGACTAATAGCAGCGATGCAGTCGCTAATCGTTTACCTTTACACACGCGCGCAACTTTAAGCGGCGATGCAAACGAGATGCAAACGCGCGACTGCATGGATACAAACGCGCGATTGCATCGATGCAAACATCTGTGAATCGCAAGTATAGCGATGTAATCGCGCGTTTGCGTAGCTGCCAAAAGACACCGTGTGTAACCACTCTTACATTCAATTAATAGTCTATAGAAGGAACGTTTGCATAAAATGTATGAGAAAATTTTAACTTCTCTATAAAAAAAACAGACCTCGTAAGTTCGATGAATTACATATATTTGCCAAGTTTTATTGAAATCGGTTACTGGAAAGTGCGCGAAACCGGATTCATCCCCTAGTTTGCCACCCTTAGAGGTGGTATATTTTTTTCAAATTTAAATGGGACCAACACAGATGCACCATCTTTCTAATAAAAAACAAATCGTCAAAATCTGTTCACAAATGATTACTCGCGTAAACATACATTAAAAAAAACATTCAGTCGAATTCAGAACGTCCACCTTTTTTAAATCGGTTAAAAAATATCACAGCTGTAACAGCAGCGCATCAATCGGCAAAAGCACGATGCTCCCGCGAATGTGTTAACTAATAAAACTTTATGTTTATAAATATCCAAACACTAACAATTTTGAATATGATTAATCATGTCCACTAGTCGTGTCTCGGTGGTCTATTTTGTTATTTTATCAATCTCGGTGCCTAACGGTTTGCACTGTGGAAACTGGATTAGGAGGACCCAGGTTCGATTCCTGGTCAGATCAAATTCAGAAATGAACTTTTCTAAATTAGTACTAGTTTGGGATTACTGGCTAGTGCCTCGGGGTGAATTCCGTTGCTCAGGTACTCATAGTAATCTCTATTTTAAGATCAGTAAATTGGATATAGTTATTTGGAGCCGTATAGAATGAAAGGATGAATGAAAGAAATTTATTTGCTGAAAAATAAAATCGCCCATTAGGAACGAAAAATCTAAGATATATAATAAGAAGCCTTTTTGTTAAGTATCAATGTCTTCCAAACAGTAATAAATAATACGAATTTTTAAAAGTCAAATACAATGTGTTCTTATGGGCCTATGTCCGCACACAGCTAATGGTATCTTATTCAGGAATTTTAAAGCGGACTAATTCTGGCATTGTATACCTTGGACTGACAAAAAAATTCGTGTCATCGTATCATTGTGTGTATCCGAATAACCTCTCATCAATCCTCTGAACACAGTACCCGTTTCGTAATCACAGCTAGGAAGTATTTTAATTACTTATGATTGAAATGCAAATACAAAATTAGTATTTGTATTTCAATTAAGTACTACCAAAAAATGTATTTTGTAATTGGTATTTTAAATATCTGGCAACAATGTATTTTGTGTTTGGTATTTCTAATATCTGAAAGCGATGTATTTTGTAATTAGTAATTGAAATATCTGACAGTAATGTATTTTGAAAATTATTATAACTGCCTCTGTGGCCGAAGGGTTAGCATGCTGCATGCTGGTAAATCACGCATAGGTCCCGGGTTCAATTCCCGGGCGGGGAGAAATATTTGTATGGCCTACACTTATTTCTCTCGTAACTTTGTGTGTAATTTGTGTTTGTCTGTGTGTGTATGCATAGCACCTGCGACACGTGGTTTCTCTAGTGCGGGGCTATGAGTGCGTGCGTTATTATTATTATTTTGCAATTGGTATTTTAAAGTCCTGGTATTCAGTTAGCGGTAATAATTGTATTTTTAATAATGGATGTCAAAATACCGTTTTTATATTACCAATACACCTAATAAAAGTATTTTGCAATTTATATTTTAATCAAGACACGGCACGTATTTTATCCAACCCTGCCCATAATACACAAAGCTTTAACACTTGCACTGCTACACAGTGACTCTATTTACACGATTGAGCCAAACAAAAGACTATAAAATGTTATCTCTTGATGCCACTTGAGTCAACGATCGTTCTTTATTACGAGTGTCAATGTCCTGTCCGCATAAAAATTGTCGTTATGGATTAATATGGTCTTCTACAGAATATAAATTATGGTACATAAACATAAAATAAATATAAACCTAAAAAGATTGTGATTGTCAATCAAGAAAATTGTCAACTTTCATCTACATACATATATGAACATATACAGGGTGTAAACGTCTTTATTTTGGCTTTCTTTGATCTTTATTGTCTCTTATCAAGGTCCTTACATGAATAAACTTTCAAATACCCAACTTGAATTTTTCTAACAAAAGAAAAGCCTTGGTAAGGGATTGGAGTCCATACTAGGTATTAACTTACGTGCGAAATCTCCAGGCTCCCACCTGCCAGTACAATACAATTCTTGTACTGTAGGTGCAAGGTAAAACAAGCACTTAAATAACAAACAATATTTACAAAAGTAAGAAATAAAATAAAGCTGTAAGCTATTGTACTTGTAATTGTAGGTTAGTGTGTGTGTGTGTGTTTGTGTGTGTGTGTGTGTGTGTGTGTGTGTGTGTGTGTGTGTTTGAGTGTGTGTGTTGTGTGTGTATGTGCGCCTAGGCTACTATTCCATCAATATGAGATTTCAAACACCTTTAAACTTATATCGAAAGCACGTTACCTAATGAGTAAAACGACGTTAATATTTATTGATACATTTAATGTGACATTCGTAGAGATTGTAAATACATAATAATTATAATAATCTGCATAAATTAAAATATCCACATCCGCACATCCGCATCAGCCTCCGCATTGATCGATGCTGATATTAATTACGGATGTTGGTGTAGTAACATGACACATGCAGTAACATTAAAATTTTACTTAAGTTTGATAGTTTTTATGCAGATTCATTATCTTGTTAATAAATGTCACAAAGTCATAAAAACAATCTCTTAATATCAAAGAAAATAGAAATTTACATGAAGATTCTATATTAGTACATTTTCACGACTTTTTTAATGCTGATTTTATGTATTTAATAAAATCAGCATCAAGGCATAAAATCAGCATAGACATGTCGTGAGCAAGTTTGTCCCTGATGCAATATTTTTTTACATAAAAGCGGGTTATGTGTAAAAAACCTGCATCAACGACGAGCCTGCTTCCGACAATACTCTCATATACGTAGTATTTTAAAACCGAAAACAATAGACGCACCGTATTGACATTTCGTTCATTATTTTCTTTCACGCTTTGTCATTCAGAAACAATATCCATTCACACCGCTTCGTTCGTAATCTTTAAAAATAAAATTTTAATTTTTATAAATTTCAATAAAATTACTTTTGGAATCAAAATGACAACTGCCAAAGAGACGCTGCCTTAGATATGAATAATGCATATCATGAATAACAAAACAAATTACAGATGCACCCTTTATTGATTCCTACTTCGAATACGGACCATAAAAATGGAATTTAGTTATAGGACAGTCGTCTTTGCAAAAGCCACAAATTCATTTATTCATTCCATGCTATACGCTTTCATAATAAGATTCTTGTTTATATTCAAAATTTGCCATTCACGAGGCTTAAAAAATCCAAAACTTTATACAAAAAGTATAAGTACTTGGATTGTAAAAATCCATACGAATGATCTGTTTTAGCTTTAGAGATCATTTCTGCCAATGACATTTTTAAATAAATATTGTCATCATAAATTTATAGAATTATCTCTTGACAAAGAGCAATCCCTAGAGTTACTTACTGTAATACCTGTTAGCGATCAATAAATACCAAGATTAAAATTGACAAAAAAA